AAAAAAAAACAGTAATATTGTGAAATTTTATCATAATGTAAAACAGCTGTTTTCTATGTTTCTGTTTTTTATGTGAATATATAATAGTGTAATTATATTATATATAATAGCCTGAATTTAATGTTTTATGTTTTGTAATTAATAAATACATTGATTTGAAATCCCTTTGACTTCTGTACATTTGTGAAAATACAGAAATTAGTTATGTGGTGACTGCATTCAGATGTATAGAATAATTGTTTTTCCCGAAGACTTATAGTTATATTAGCCAAAAAGTATTTATAGTGAAACAGATTAATTGTGAACTAGATCTATTGTTGTAGATGCCCTGTGTGTGCGGTGCGGGCCCTGTGTGGGCTTAGTGAGGGCTTCCTTGGGGCTAAGTGAGGGCTGCCCATGCAGGGCCAACGTTTTGTGGGCCCAGTGTGCGGGCCCTGTGTGGGTTTAGTGAGGGCTAAGTGAGCGCTGCCCATGCAGGCCCAACGTTTTGCCAATGAGCAAATTCTCATGGGCCCTGCGCTAGCAGCCTGCAGGGGGCCCTTAGGCTAGCCCTAAGTGGGCCCGGACAGGGCCAGTGCAGGCTTGTTTGCAGGGGTCTGCTCTGGATAAAGTTAGCTATGTGATTAAGAGATGCGGTAGACCACAACACTAACTAAACGCGGATAAATTAAACAAGGATGTCTACATCTGTTCTAAGTTAAGTCAACAACGTGTTTGAACGTTATCTTTAAAATCTCTAATGTAACGTTAGGCTAACATTAGACTAACATTTGAAAACGTTGACGTTAGCTTCTAGCTGCGGTGTACTTAGTACACGTCACTTAGACCCCGTTTACACCTGGTATTAAAATGCGATCTGTATCCAGATAAGTTATCCGGATAATAAAAAACGCATGTTAATGCAAGGTGTAAACGCGTTGTGATCGGATCGCGATCGGATCTGCCTGATCACATCTGGAGGTAGTCTGGCTCGCATTGTGTCCGGATCTTTACTAGGTGTAAACACAATCTGGTTGTTGAAACCACATATGTATATTTTACTCCTCCCAAAAATGCTAAAAAAATAAACGAGTGAGAGCGTGTTATATAGGCTATATGTCGTGTTATAGCCTCAGATGCGACACGCATCACCGCAGATGAGCAGCTGAGCGTCTATTCAACGTGCAAACATCGCAAATAAAAGTGAAAGTAAGTCACAGACGCAGTTAACACATCTTCAAGTAAAGAAACGAAATTATCTTACCAGGCCTGTTGCCACTCTCTCTTATTGATGTCTCTGATTTGGAAATTAGCTGATGATCAATAAAATGCCGCTCAGATGGCGTGCAATCCAATAAATCTGCATATAACGCAGGAGGTGAAGATCGGATTTATATCCGTTTTGCAAAAACACATTTATGTGGCCAGGTGTAAATGGAATCAGTACTTATTATCCGGATAACTTATCTGGATACAGATCGCATTTTAATACCAGGTGTAAACGGGGTCTTAGTGTAACGATCACCAGCTGGAGTGCCCCTGAGAGACACCAGAGGGCACTCCAGATAAGACTATTTTCACTCACAACTACATTTCCCAGAACTCACTGCCCGGACTCATCATTACTGATCACATCCACCTGTACCTCATTCACTGATTGCATTCACCTGTCTCATTATCCTGTTAGTCTGGCTATAGACCAACGCCACTTTTGCGTCATCGAAGGGTAACGCCCCCTTTTGGGGGAAAACACCTCTATACTGTCTATGGGAAAACATACGGATTTCCATGAGAACAGAACTTGCACTAGATCTGCAAAGTTTCTTGATAGCAAAAATGGCACAAACTTAAAGAAGCTAACGTTACTGAATACGGGGTTACAGAGGTGTCCCTTTGAAATGGTCGAAAACTGGATTAATGACCCCACACAGCGGCCAAATATGGACTATTCAGACATCTAACGATACCACTATCTCGTGGAATCACCAAGTAAGTAGCCTTTTTTATTTATTTATTTATTTATCATTTACACACTCACAGTAGCCTATGACAAACTACTAGACGATGAGGCCATGTCACTTGGATCATATTTAACTTGATTTACGCTATTGACAGTTTTGTTGTCGACTAGCTATTAGAAAGACTAAGCTGTTAGCAGCTAACGTTACCTTATTAGACTATGTCAATAGCTTAAATCAAGTTAAATATGATCCATTCATCGTCTAGTTTGTCATACTGTGTGTTAATGAAAAAAAAGGCTACGTGCTTACTTGGCGATTCCACGAGATAGTGGTATCGTTAGATGTCTGAATAGTCCATATTTGGCCGCTGTGTGGGGTCATTAATCCAGTTTTTGACCATTTCAAAGGGACACCTCTGTAACCCCGTATTCAGTAACGTTAGCTTCTTTAAGTTTGTGCCATTTTTGCTATCAAGAAAATTTGCAGATCTAGTGCGAGTTCTGTTCTCATGGGAATCCGTTTGTTTTCCCATAGACAGTATAGAGGTGTTTTCCCCCAAAAGGGGGCGTTACCCTTCGATAACGCAAAAGTGGCGTTGGTCTATATATACCATGTTCATTCAGTCACTCACCGTGAAGTCTTGTTGTGCTGTATTTCTGAGCGGTTTCCGTGTTTGTTTTCTGGTTTTTGACTTTGGATTGTTTTTGGATTCTGATTATTGCTGCCTGCCATGACCTCTGCCTGTTTCTCCATTGTCCTGTCTGCTGATTCTCGACCCTGCTTGTACGACTATTCTTAAATTAAAGCTGCATTTGGATCTTCATCTCTATGTCTCGGAGCAGTTCATAACACTTAGCTTCATTAATCTGTAAATAACTGAGATAACAAATGTTAACAATGTTGTGCTGAATGATTCATGTAAATACTGTAGCGCTAAATGGTGATGGCAACAATATGCGGTTTATCACGTTTACAATGTGACATTTTTGCCTGGAGCTTTTCATCGACCTTCTCAACAATAAAATTATTAATATAACCATCCAATGCATAGTTAAATGATTTCGAGATGATATATAATCTTTCTGTCTCCAAAAATCACCAATTACCTCCTGTGAAATGTCTCTGTGACCATAGCGCCTGACCCAGAATGTTGACTGTTTGTCCGAGAGAGTGGAGGGGGCATGGCTTAGCCATAGGCCAATTGTATCTGAGGCCTGGAAGAGTTTGGTTTGTGTAGTTGTTGACATGTTGAGAAGACATTTTTCTGTACTGTGAAAGCTAATCCACTTTGATGCACTTACAAAGGATGAGGACAGTGAAACCAATGCCATTGTTAAGCATAGTTTGTAACACGCATAGTTTGTTTCACAATCTCTGCTGGCACTTCAGGGATGCGTTGTGGTCATATGTGGCAACCACAAAGATTATTCAAAGATAATCAATAATTCAAAGATAAAGGTGATTCAAAGATACAAAACATTAAATGCTCTGAAATAAAAAAATACACCTGACCTCTGAAAAATCAATAATGGAGTGTCTGGAGGATGTGGAGAGAAGATGCAGATTAAGACAATACTGAGGTGTGATCGACTTGATTGCATGTGAATGATAATGTTTAAGAGAGAGTTCAAATGCTAATTTCCAGAAAAGTCCATTGTTTTTTTCAGAGAGAAGCCCTTCTCTAAGCCAGGCGTCTTGGCTTATTATTGATGTTAAAGATGGTGCTATCATGGATTTTTGAAAATGACTGTTCATGTAGTGTAGCTCTAAGGGAATGAAAAAACCAACAAAGATTTACATCTGAAAGTGCACCGTATATAAAGTTATTGTCTTTCAAAAGTGAGAGTCAACTCTGAGTCTATGAAATGAATTGTTTTTGAAACTAGCTGTTTCGTAGTGACGTAGATACGAAACATTAGCTCATTGGCCGCTCCCAACACTGCGTGCGCAGACGGAACTGTAAACTTGAAGTCTAGAACACATTCAAATACTTCAGCTGGATAGCATCATATCGAGAAGACTGTGTGTTCTACATTGCAAAGACAGTTCAGCCACTGTTTTCATTGCTCAGGGATGAGCATGTGAAGAATCAGTGGTTAGAGTTCATATTTGCAACGATACCACAACAATATAGCCCGAACCTTGTCATTTTAATGACGAATCATTAAAAAACATAAATGAATTCCAATGTGGATTCGCAAGCCAGTTGTTCCCGAAGGAGGGCTCAGTATCCATTGTATATGGATCAGGTTCGTCCTCCTCCGAATCACAATCTGTAAGTATTATTAATAATGTTTGCTGTTGTGTGTTTTGTACACTCCGCGCAGCTTCTAAGTGGGGTAAAGTTAGTTTTGTTTTTGATATTCTCCAGACATTCACTGAAAAATGACAATTACCTCCTAAACGACTAAACGCCAAATATGACTTTGCTCTATATAATAAGCACTGCCCCTCAAAAGCCGCCGCAATGTCGTGAGTTTCGCCGGGAATGCTCGCTCTAGACGGAGACGCGAGTAAGGGACTGTGTGGAAAGTGCACTTTTTCTGACACGTTTGTTCATACATTGTATACAATTTTCAACACTTGACAAGCTGTAATCCATTAATGGTGATGGGCGTTCCGCTACCGACAATCTCTGCCTACGGTTTACCAATAACTGACTGGTTCACTTGACCAATAGCCGCAGATTCGCATCACTCAAAGGTGTTTGGGAAAATGAATCGTCTAACGAATCATTTGAGAGTCGTTGAGCAAATCAGGTAACAATAAATGCATATTATAAGACAAATAAAGTGTTTTTTATCCTTGCATGCACGTTAAACTGTTTTTGGGAACTCCCAAAACAAAAATAGGAACATTTCAAATGCTATGATAGGAGCTCTTTATAATAAATGACACATATACAATATCCGTCATGATTTGAACAATTAATAGGGAATTTAGCTTTGTTGTACATGGATGTATTAAAAATATACACAAAGTATCTACATTAGTCCTAGTGGACAGTAAAAAATGTTTTAAGGACTACAGTTATCATTGACTATTGGTTTCTCCCTTCAGGTGTCTTTTTGCTAGAGCACTGGGATAGTAATAAGAAGGGCAATACTCCACACCTTGGTTTGACAGTGACTGTGAGAGACCCTAACCATGAGGTATAAAGCATTCAACTCTTTATGTACTCATGGAATAAGTGAAAATGACACAAACTGTTAACTATTACCACCTACAATTCTTCTGATTCACTCTGTCATGTGCAGGTGGTCTTGTTAAAACGCTTTGGGAGATTTGGAAAATTCACCTTTAAATCCCATGCTTCGGGTCAACATTTTGTGTGCATGCAATCTAACTCCACCAGGTTCTCTGTGTTCGCTGGTGATCGTCTGGTGAGTTGTGTGATGCTGTGACCTCACATGTTGAATTTGACCTGCTTAAAATGTCTCCTTGGGGCTTTTACTTTTCTCTTTATGCACAGAAAGTACATTTAGATGTCCAGATGGGCGAGCACACAACTGATCCTAATGCTGCTGAGGCAAAGGACACTATGGAAGCAATGGAATACAACCTGCAACATCTCATTGACCAGATGCATTACATTAGCAGACAGCAACATTTCCAAAGGGTAAGTAAACACAGTTAGTAGGATGGCCTGACACCAAATGTTACCATATTAATTGCTTGCCAAAATCGGAATGAGGACCAGACTGGGTGTCAACTGTCCACATTTTCCAAGGTGTACTTACCCTCAGTGATTATATGCAATTTGTATGTTTATTTTACTGCAACCAGGAACGTGAGGAGAAGTTTCGCCAAATGAGTGAGGAAACAAATGGAAACGTTTTGTGGTGGGCCATTATTCAGACATCAATCCTCCTCTTTGTTGGAATCTGGCAAATGAAAAACCTCAAAGACTTTCTCATCGAAAAGAAGTTGGTTTAGCCTTATGAAATGACTAACTGTATGTTTAGATAATTCTACATTGTTTAAAGTATTTTGATATGTAGAAGTCTAAATGATCTAATTTGAGAGTAAACAATCATTTACTCTGCAAAGAGAATATTTCACAACTGTGCCTAATTTAATAAATTCATAGTCTATATGAAGGCTATTCATTAAACATTTTTTTTCTCTTTGTGTTTTATTTCACTCCAGAAGATACTCCTCTAAAAAAAAAATTTTTTTATGAATTCATCAACAAACATTTAATATGTTAATTAGGCCTACTGTTTCCACCATATCATTTGGCCCTTAATTTTGACTAATTAAAACGATCACCTTTAATCAGAAATAAAATAGCAGACATAGCCTATACATTTTGTTCAATTTTTTTTATCAAAAGTATTACGTAAGTATTTAATCATTATGATTTACAGTTTTTAAATCGTTGAAATAAAGTTACTAGCACTGAACTGTATAATGACTATATCAGTGGTTACTAGTCATAGTATTTGCCGGAAGCTATAGAGACTAGACGCCCTATACATAGTTCCCACCAGTGTTGTGCAAGTTACTTCCAAACTGTAATACATTAGGTATTACTTGTTACTAGGGATGCACCGATCCACATTTTTTCACTTCCGATCCGATCCGATCCCGATACCTGACTTTGGATATCGGCCGATACCGATACTTTTCCGATACCAGAGCTGTGTTTGCTTTAATAGTATTTATCATTATTGTTGATTTTATATGATGCTGAAATAAACTCTTCTCTACAGGCAAGGATGATATGTACGTATGTATGTATGTCAATATAAATATATATATATATTAAACAATAGATAGACAATTAAACAAAGATACACATTATACAGGCCTACACAGTGCTTTAATTTCAGGAAGGTCTACAAACAGTATTCAGGTATGGTCTTAAAAAGAATTATAATAAAGTCAAAAGTAAAATAGCACTGCAAAGTTTATCATAGATAGATTTATGCTTATTAAAGCTGAAGTAATTCATTCAAGAGCTGTGAGTGATTTTCTCTTTGCCTTTGGTTGTTTGATTCTCAGTAATGTCGCAATCGTCACATTTATACTGCTGCCCCTTTAAGAACGAGTTCAGATTTCATAGTCTACTGATGCACCATATTTTCTCCCAAATATTTCCATAACTACGTTCATTTTAGACATAATAAATTGTTTAAGTGTTCTCCAAGTCGGTCGGTTTGACATTTTTGTGCAGGCTACATTTGATCGTTTAGACGCGCATATGAAGCCCAGAGTATAATTTGCTTGTCTTGTTGCGGTCTGTTTCGGAGCGCGCCGCACTGGGAACAGCATCTCTTGCGCAAATTTTGTGCTTTTAATAGCTCTTTTTATTATTAAAAGCGTGACGCAATTTAGTAACAGCAGAGACTGCATTTTACTACAATCATCGATCGTGCTGATTTTGTCTTAAAGTTTGAGTTTTAGGGAGAAATGACAGCGCACCGCCGCGATGGGAAGGAAGTTGGCTAGACAGAATGCGGCTATTGTTTTTAATGGGTTTTTTTTTTTACCTCAATATATTCTTTAATATTTGGAAATCAGACTAATATCACAGATCTAAAGTGTAACCAGGCTACGTTTCCTCTGTCGTCACTCATTACGCCGGGCTGTCATGTTGTGCTTGCTGTTGCACCGCGTGAGGGATCTCTCTCTTTCTCTTCTGGACTGCGAATTGCAAACATGCATCAAATAGTTTAATTAATACGTCTTTGCAAACATTGCACTTTGCTGTCTTGCTCTGCACTGCAGCGGTGTTTCCAGTTCCACTATATGATTTCCACACAGCGAACATGTTATAGCTCAGTGCTATCCTGCTAGCTGGCTGCAAACTGCGGAATGGATTTCCTGAGCGGGGGTGTGTCTCATTGAGCCCTATGTTTTACAGTCACTGATTGAGCTGCACCTCCGTTCAGGGTATCCATTCCACAGTTTGCAGCCAGCTATAGCAGACTAGTCTTGCAGGCCCGGCGGGAATCACTTTTGGAGTCATTTCAGCAGACAACGTTAAAGCGCAGACATGGATCATAAATATCGGATTTCTCCGCAGGTTGGATCGGAAAAATCCGATACGTGAATTATGCTGGTATCGGTCCCGATACCGACACTGGATCGGATCGGCCCCATCCCTACTTGTTACTGTTATTTAAAAGTAATTCATTACCTTACAATATTACTGTCTCAGAATTGTAATGCGTTACATTACTCATGTATTACTTTTGAGTTACTTTCACCAAAATAACTAAGTAGAACTTAACTTTTGGGCTGTAACGATATGCAATATGAAACCGAAATCGCGATTCGCCACACGACTCAGATCCACGAACCTACAGAATCGCGACACACCTCTTCCAACTCCAGCGTTATTCTCCTTACCGTCCAGATCCAATGCTGCCTTATCTTTAAATTAGGCTATTAGTATTATTTGAAGTTAACATTATAAAATACGTAGACCTACACCACAAAACTAGTTGAGGATAAATTATTTAAAATTGGGGAAGTCCAGCATTATGGACATGACATTTGCAGTCAAAACTTGAAATAAAAATTCTCAGAAAATACATGTATTAAAACGTATATAGGCTACTTCCTTAAAGGACTCCAGATATTAGACAAATATCAGTCTATGTTTTATTTTTAATATTAGGGAAAAGACACACATTCATGCGTGACAAAAAAATAGGAGGTAAAATATATTTTTTGTAATTCTGTTAATTACACTGCGCAAATTGGATGAGGAAGGGTTGGCTCTGCAGTCTCCATAGAACTTAAAATATTCATTTTATTTTAGCTTTCGTGTTCGCATTTATGAGGAAAAAACAATGTTACAGACGCGACCGCTCTGAACTGGCACTAAAAGACTGCTTTAAAACTTTCACATAGTCTGTTGCCTTTAAGAAGTAAAAGCAGACAATACACTGTAATACAACTGTAATACAAGCCTCACTGAACATGTAACGAGTAAAATATTACTGAAAATTGATTAGTAATGCCTTACACTACTGCGTTACAGCAAAAAGTAATATTGTAATATATTACTTTTGTAATGCGTTACTCCCAACACTGGTTCCCACATGACATCACAACATACGGGTATCTGCCGACCCAGCGCCATTGCTGAGGTTAGAACATTAGAAGCAATTGACTATGTGCACGAGAAAAATGCTAACTTCCGCCTTGAGGGCGGATGTTGGGTACTTCGGTTCCGGTTGCCGTTGTTTACATCCTACATCAGTGGACCGGCTATCTAAAGCTTAGCTATCTAAATATATTTGTCTAAAACTATGTTCGTTTGTTCATTGTCAAGTCAACCAACACAGTTTTCACTCATATTTGGGTGGAGCCAGGCGCTGCTGCATTGTGAAAAGTAAACGATATTTCACATTTTGTCACCGCACCCAAGCAGTCGCTTCACAGAGTGGAGCGTTGCGTATCCATGACAACTAGAAGGAAGTTTTTAGGCTACTAATTATTTATTATATTATACGCTTTAACCAGGAGAAGCCCCTGGGTTTAGAACTTATTTTGCAAGGGAGACCTGTTTAGAAATATGTGTGAACAGCCTAATATGTGTTAAACAGCCTGACTTGATAACGAACGAACCAACGTCGGATACCTTTACTCCCTGTATGACATGTATAGTGGTTGTCAACACTGATCTATATGACGATAGTGGTTGTCAACAACATAGCCTCTGAACATCATAAACAAAACAATGGCCAACACAAACTGTTCTGGAAAATGCACTTTCTAACGCATGATTTCGCATTTTATAATGTATAGAGAGAACAGTTACCAAATCGCATAGCTTGAGCACGTAGCATGGCAACATTAATGTCCGAGTGATTCCACGTGTACCGCGTGTGTACACGCCGTCAAATGTCCGAGCGAAACAAAACAAAATGTAGATCTACATCTGGGGAGCGATATTTATTTTTTCCTAGGATGGTAGGAGTGACGGGTAGGTTGGGTTGAGGTAGGTCATATGCTATATATATATATATATATATACACTTGTGTATGTATATATATATATATATATATACAATAATAACGTTAAGTCAACGGTATTCATAAACACGCTGAAAAGAGATTATGCGTGTTGATAGCATGCCAAAAATACGTGATACGTGTCATACATACGCAATTTCATGAGATCAGTCTGAGCATGGATGTTGTTGTGACTTAACGTTCCCTTCAAAATGATGCAAATACTGAGAAATGTAATATTTAAACCCCTTCTGTCTTCCTCTGGGGAGCTGGAGGAAAATCATTAGCCAGTCGATGAACATAATCGACTGTAATATTCGGCAAATGTTCAAGACATCTGGAGAAACATACATCCTCTACGTCGTCCATCAGGCTACCGGAAACTAGACACCCCATATCAGTTTCGCAGCCGGAACTAGCATATGCTAACGTGCACATAGTCCATACGAGTTAAATGAAGTGAAATGAGTTTTGTGCTATAAAGTGAAAATGGTCATCTCCTGCTGGGTCAATGGATGTTCATGCCGGAGGTTCAGTTAAATTGGAATTTTACAGTATACCCGTCATTAGACTCCATGAATGTGAGAAGACTAAGCTTTTGTCAGAACAATGACGGAGGTTATGGCTGGCAAGGATAAACAGGAAAGAAACTCACTCAAAACACGCAAGAATTTGTTTGACAAAAGCACAATGTTGTGTTTTATTGTGAGTGTAAACAAATATAAGTTAACACTTTGCAGTTTGAATAATGTCCTTTATGAACAAAATGATGAGGTATTAAAAACAAAACAAAAGAACATTGTTTCCACTGTTTGATCACACACACACACACACACACACACACACACACACACACACACACACACGCACACACACACACACACACACACACACACACACACACACACACACACACACACACACACACACACACACACACACGTACATGCATATTACAGAAAGCACCGGTGACTGTTTTAAGGGGAACATAGGAATTAATTTGTGCAGACTATGGCTTTTTAATTGACAGAGAGCCTAGCATGATGCTACTTCGCCATGATGACTAAGTACTTTTCCATTGATTGAACTTGAGAAAACGTCACCAAACCAACCCTCTGCAATCGATTGTACACCTCCAATGATTTCCAGACTCGGAAATGCTCACATGTGTAAAAACTTGCCAATACCCAACATGACAAAGGTACACATGAAAATACTGTATCTGAGGCAAAGCTGCATAATCAGTGCTCAGTACTTCCTTCGTTACTGCATACGGAATCACACCATTTATGAATGAAATTTTCACATTGTACCTCTCTCTGTCTTATTTTAAATAGTCTCTTTATTATCTATTCCACTTTGTCTCTTCATGATTTGCAAAACATTATAAACAGAAATAAATATTTGTTTGTAAAACAAAATTCTCTGATAAAACTTTGTAAACACCTATGGTAACACAGCAGCTTATGCCCTCAAAGATGGCGTCTCCGGGGAGGTCACGTGACATTAATTTGCCTGTGGGAAATGCTGGGAACTATAGCCGTTTCTCAAGATGCGTTCTTGTCTGTACTTGCATTCTTGTGGACTTGAGAAAGGTCATCAGTCACTGCGCAAGTACTTTTCCAATTCAAAGTTCACATCTAGCCAAGTCCAGTTCAAATCCCCGGATGTGTTCTTGATCCGCCCGTTTACCGAAGTGCATCGAGAGGTGACTTGTGCGGACTTGAGATAGCCAGGTATCCCAGAATGCATCTCGTGTCAACCAGCAAGCTTCAATGGGAGAGGAGAAAACCCGTGTAATATCAAAATACTACTGTTATTGTGTCATGAAATGTAATTTTAAGAGTGTTTCAGGTGAGAATGTGGTTGTTTAAATCTCAAATCTGTGGTTTATTTATAAAGATAGCACCTATTTCAAAAATGTATCTGACGTTTTCGGAGCTCTGACATGCAAGCCTTCACCGTTGCCCAGCGCTCATCAACCCCGACTGGAACAGCTTTTCCTCGGCTAGTGCTTCTAACATTTAGAAGCATAACATTTCCTCGTCTAGTACATCTAACATATCCGCTGACACAGATGTCTCGTCTAGTGGATAAACTTGACGTATAATTCGTCTTGTGTAAAAGTCTATATCTTTGTTCTCGTCTCATTTAACTAGTTTGTTCCATGGCAAAAAATTGTTTTATTGTGTTATTATAAATAAATATTTTTATTTATTTATTTCATTTTTTTTTTACATGATCTTCACTAGGCTATATGAACAATAGAATAAAATGAACTCTGTCTTTGTTTGTTAAATGTCAATAAAAATCAATAATGTTTTATATTTTTAAAATGAAAACAAAAAGATCATGTTCATTTTGTTATTAATGAGTGAAAATAATCAATATACGCCTGAACCACATGGCCAAATGTGAAAATAAATCATGAGGGAAAATTGACAGCTCATCCAGTCAAACTGTTGGATCAGCTTTATTTGTAGGGCAACCTTTGAAATGATTCGTTTCAGCCTTTTTGAATGTCAGTTCCCCAATCCGGAAGTGCCACCTAAAAAAGCAGTATTAACATTACCTTACTATTGGTTGTATTTTGTGAATAAAATACCCCATGTGTCTCGTATCATACCTACATATGACCTTTGCAGTAAAATACCCGCGTGAAAATCAGTAGGCCTAAGATATGTTTAATTAAATGCGCTGACAGCTCATATCACCTGCCAAACAGATTACACTGAGCGGAGCGGGTGACCGGTTTAAGATGGCGGTCCCACGGCTCGTTTGACACTGGCTGTCGCGGTCGATAGGGCGTCTATCTCTAATATCTATGGTCGCCATGGTCATATTTGCGAAGAGGGCGCGATTTCTGTGCGGTCACGTCATCGTTCCAATAAGCATAGCTAAATCTGCAAATTTGTTTGATAAACTAGCAAACCCACATTTTAACATACACACTACTGTTAATAATCTGGATAATGCGTAAAGGAAAAACTAGTATCGAGGTATGTGTTTTGTTGTTGTTTTTACTTTTGAGATTTGTTAGTGTCCTCAGCACACTAGCGAACCTTCGTGAAGTCCTCGGTGAATTGTATAATGTAGCACTACGTTATTTGTTTATTGAGCTGAAACGATAAACATCTCCCTGCTTACTGGGTTAATTTAACCTTTATTTTAACCCCCATTTGTTTTAACTTGCATTGATAACTTACAATTTGCAATGACATAGCCTATCTTAAAATATGTCCTTTCCATTGTTTTGTCTCGAGATGCAGGCCATTAATGTTATTTTATTTGTTATTTTATTTTTATTTGTATTTATTTTTATTTGTATGTTTGTTTGAAGTATTTTGATATGTAGAAGTCTAAATGGACTTATTATTATTATATAATTTGAGAGTAAACAATCATTTACTCTGCAAAGAGAATATTTTACGATTGTGCCAATGTTACTTAAATGTCCTAATTTAACTAAGGCAGCTCTTCTGTCCTGGCTTAATCAAGCCTTGTCTGTGAAACCAGGTTTATTACCTTGTTTTTGGTGGAAATGGTGTTTCATACTTTCAATAACAGGTGCATACAACTTTTTTGTCATCAAGTTAAACAACAGTTTTGGGCATGATGGACAGGGCTTCAGGCATGGACAGGTGGGCTCCATAAGCTTACTTTTAGAGGTTTAAGCAAACAGCCTTAATAGTGTTGTTCTTTACTCAAACAGAATAATGTCTCACTGGATCTGTTGTAACTCGTGCTTCATGTCCCCTGGTAATGAGCGTCAGCTGGCTGTCACAAGCTGTGGCCACATCATCTGTAATGTTTGCTTTCAGAGAGGTAACTTTATTTTCAGATTTATAGATGGTATATCGGTGCTGCTTTTATATAAAACTGTAGTTACTCTAAACACTTATAACACTGGATGTGAGTTATAACTACTATTCCTATAACTATTATAATATTTCTTGTAAAATTATCTGTCTATTTTGTATTGAATTGTAGTAGTAAAAGTTTTGTATGAATGTTTTGTTAGTGAGATTATGACTTAAATATGTGAATATGCTGCCCTCTGCTGGAAATAATAAGTACTAAGATCATCCTGTGTTTGTTTCCCCTGAAGGAAATCAAGGTGTGTGTCTCATTTGCAAAGCAAATTGTCAAATCTCTGCACTGTCTGATAAGGTAAGATGCAAGAGATTTTTATGTCGTAGAGATTTAATATTAATGAACTGTCCCTAATCTGCGTATTGTTTTCATAGAGCAGCTCAGAGGTTCAGGATTTTTTCTTGGATATCAATGCAGTTGCAGTCAAGTACTTCTCAGATATAAGCAAGGTGATCATGTACACAAAATGAGTAGATTGTATATGTTAATCAATCATGCGGCAGTAGCAGTTATAAAGACATTTATTATGCTTTCTAGGTCTTACAATTCCAGGCCACACACCAGAAGCGATTACTGGCCCACTATCAGCAGAAGGTGAGAGAATCCTGCCCTTAACATGACTTATTTTTACTGAATCAAATTAATGTCACACAACACTCTAAGCACAGATTGAGAGAATGAAGGAGGATGAACTAAAAATTCAACAAGAGATGCAGAAGATGGCAAAGTAAGGATGAGTTTTGCTTTAGTACAAGCCATTTCTTTTTGCATTTTTGCCTTAATCTTGGTTTCTATTTTGAGCAGGAAAATTTCAGAACAGAATGCCTACATATCAAAATTAGAGATGACTGTTCAAAATCAAAGGTATTTCTACATGAATCTCTAAATAGATAGTTGAATACAGGGCCTATAAATAGTATTCACCTCATATATCTTTGATTTACAACATTAAACCACAAATAAATTACTTTTGCTTTTGTGGCACAGATCACCCGGAAAATATTTTTTCATATTGAAATGAGAAACCTATTGGTCCAAAAATATTACAAACATAAATACAGCACATTTAGTAGATGCACCTTAGGCCATCCAGCTCCAGTCTTGAGTGTATGTGGATACTGCTTTGCACATCTGTCCTGTGCAATCTTCTAGAGGCAGAACTGCTCAATCTCAGTCATGAATGGACAGCCTATGTTAAGTCAACCTCTTCACTAAAATGCTACTTGAATTCTCAATAAATCTAAATGTAAAATCTAAATATTACAAAATGCACATATCTTCTGTGGAAGTCTCAGGACCCAAAAAATGTCCTTCCCGAATCATTACGTTTGGTAAAATAGATAGAATATTAAACGCATAGGATGTCCATTGGGAATACATATGTTTACAGGCATGAATGTATGTATTGTATGTATGTATTCCCATACCACCGTGTATTCCCATACCTCCAGACATCACACATCATCAACACATTTTGTAAGGCTATGCAGAGTCAACGAGCTCCACAAACAATCAGCAGCCATGTTTTACAAACCTCCTGATCAAAAAACAACAAGTTTATGCTGCGTTCACAGCATGTCATAACCATAATTACGAGATGGTAATCCGTGACGGCAACCTCTGAAGATGTTGATGTCCTCAGACTCGGGTATAGGTGTTTCTATAGAAAATTTCTATCAATGGCGGAATTAAACTGCAGCAGTCAGATTAAAAGTGGTAAAAGTTAGAGCTCTGTAAGTTGTTTATGTTCATTATTTTTGTAATGTGATGTGCTTTTTTACTTTTTTTGACATGAGACAATTTAACCCCATCTCTCGTGATGCTTTGCAGACTCGGCTTTAGCAATGCGCGTGTTTTGAAAGAGGTGTGGCTTTGGACAGCGTTCTGAAGGTAGGGTGCCATCGTAGGGGTGTGTGGCGTGGTATAACGATTTTTGATCGTGGATGATTAAAACGTCTCCACGATCTGCTTTTAAAGAATTATCGTTGTATCGTATACATTGCATTCTATCAGTTGTAGTTCTGGCGCCTCCATCTCAACATAAGTTACTATACAACGCAACGTACATTCACATCACATGTTTACGCAGAGGTAGAGTTACACTCACGGGACACTGCAATTCACAAAAAGTAATTATTTGCATTTGCTTTAATGCCTTGCCGGTTAAACATTTTATTCGCATGCTTATCCCCTGTTGATAAGATGCTCTTTTATGAAGCACACAGGCAATAAAAGCCTGTCAAACAGTGCCTGGTTACTGGACTAAGTTATCTTTTGAGTCCTATTGCGCTAATACTGTCAAATACATACAAAGTTTACATAAACGCAGTTTGTTATTTCTAAAGTGAAAGTACACATTTGAGAGAAAATCTGGTGTATGTCATAAGCGTTTATATTATAAGCATTAGACGCATCGTGTACCGCTCTTAAAGTGACAGTAGCCCATAATATTAAAGATGTTGCCGCTTGAAAGAGATAGTTCTAGGGCTGCACGATAATTTGCGATATTTTATTTTTCTGCTATAAATATTGCGATATAAAAACAATTTTCCAAATGACTTGAATAGCTCTATTTGTAAAGAATGAATCCAAATGGTGGTTTTGTCATGGAGTAAATTCGCATAGAAACTAATAAAATGTTAACTAATGTAGTTAACTAGACTTTAATAAATGGAACCTTATTGTAAAGTGCTTCCTATTTGTGTCGCTTGAGTTCAGTGTTGGATAGATCTGTTGTTTTAACCATTCATTAAAGTGAATCGGTTCAAATGAGTCATTAGTTTGCGAGTCGGACGTGTCATTAACGGACCACGGCACACGTTGTGTGATTATCCAGGCAGGTTAGGACATCGCACAAGATTTGTGTCAACACAGAAAACATTTCATCACTGAATAGATTTTTTTTTTTATTGAAAGTGTGGTTTATGTCATCTGAATGTGTGGAAGGCCTTTCAGAGAAGATTTATTTATTTATTTATTTTAGCACAATTCACAACCAGTGGTAGTTCAGAAGAAAAAACAAACAAACTATGGTCTTCCGACCTTTTACCGTCATGTATTCTCAAAGATATTCAGTCATCTCAATTCATTAAAGGGATAGTTCACTTTGAAATTAATTTTTGATGTTTTAGCTTACCTCAAGGGCATCCAAGATGTAGGTGTCTTTGTTTCCACACAGTATTTTCAATTTTGATATCTTTAGGTCAAACCGTTCTTGTCTGTCAGTCATATAATGGAGGTATATTGGGTCCACCTCAAAGAGCATGCACAGATAAGTCCAAATTAAACATGATTTAAAAGCCACCTATTATGCCCCTTTTTACAAGATGTAATATTGGTCTTGGGTGTCCCCAGAATGTATTTGTGAAGTTTCAGCTCAAAATACCCCACAGTTATTTTTTATTATAACCATTTGAATATGTCTTGTTTTGGGGCCTGTTTTAAAATGAGCTGTTTTGAGGCATACCACCTTAAATGCAAATGAGCTGCTTATCCCCTGCCCTGCCTTTGGATGAGGGCATAACTTGATACATGGCAGTCGGCCTAAGCAGAAGGGCTGAGAGAGAAACCGCTATTTTGAATGTCATTCAGCGTTAGTTTGAATCGGAATATATAAATAGTACGAAGAGACTCTGGCAGAATAAACACAAATGAAAATGGACCAGTACGTCTCGGTATGGTTATTTGATACATTTATGTACTTATAGAGTTGTAATCGCGTCCCCTTTCCAATTATGGATGTGCAACACACACACAGACACACACAAACACTAACGCTGGTGCAATTTTTTGAAACTACATACACATTCTGTGATAAAATTTGCTACATACAAGCGAAATTACATTTATGCAAGGGACCTGTTGCGTTTATTTGTCATACAGGTGCTTCTGTGTGAGAAGATGGCTAACTTACAGAATAAGAACATATATGCAGTTTTTAATACAATATATTTAAATATATCTATATCTATATATATATATATATATATATATACACAACCCGAATTCCGGAAAAGTTGGGACGTTTTTTAAATTTGAATAAAATGAAAACTATACGACTTTCAAATCACATGAGCCAATATTAAGCAGAAGCAGAAGGGCTGAGAGAGAAACAGCTGTTTTGAATGTCATTCAGCGTTCGTTTGAATCGGAATATATAAATAGTACGAAGAGACTCCGGCAGAATAAACACAAATGAGAATGGACCAGTACGTCTCGGTATGGTTATTTGATACATTTATGTACTTATAGAGTTGTAATCGTGTCCCCTTTCCAATTATGGATGTGCAACACACACACACAGACACACACAAACACTAACGCTGGTGCAATTTTTTGAAACTACATACACATTCTGTGATAAAGTTTGCTATGTACAATCGAAATTACATTTATGCAAGGGACCTGTTGCGTTTACTTGTCATACAGGTGCTTCTGTGTGAGAAGATGGCTAACTTACAGAATAAGAACATATATGCAGTTTTTAATACAATATCTTTAAATATATATATATATATATATATATACACAACCCGAATTCCGGAAAAGTTGGGACGTTTTTTAAATTTGAATAAAATGAAAACTATACGACTTTCAATATTTTATTCACAATAGAACATGGATAACATAACAAATGTTTAAACGGAGAAATTGTACACTTTTATCCACTAAATGAGCTCATTTCAAATTTGATGCCTGCTACAGGTCTCAAAATAGTTGGGACGGGGGCACGTTTACCATGGGGCCACGTTTAACATCTCCTCTTCTTTTGAAAACCGTATGAAGACGTCTGAGCATCGAGTTTATGATTGTCTGGAGTTTTGGTGTTGGAATTTGGTCCCATTCTTGCCTTATATAGGTTTCCAGCTGCTGAAGTGTTAGTGGTCGCCTTTGACGCATTTTTTGTTTAATGATGCGCCAAATGTTCTCTATAGGTGAAAGATCTGGACTGCAGGCAGGCCAATTTAAAACCCGGACTCTTCTACGACGAAGCCATGCTGTTGTAATAGCTGCAGTATGTGGTTTTGCATTGTTCTGCTGAAATACACAAGGCCTTCCCTGAAATAGACGTTGTCTGGAGGGGAGCATATGTTGCTCTAAAACCTTTATATAGCTTTCAGCATTCATAGTGCCTTTCAAAACATGCAAGCTGCCCATACCGTATGCACTTATGCACCCCCATACCATCAGAGATGCTGGCTTTTGAACTGAACGCTGATAACACGATGGAAGGTCTCCCTCTTCTTTTGTCCGGAGGACACGGCGTCTGTGATTTCCAACAAGAATGTCAAATTTGGACTCGTCTGACCATAGAATACTTTTCCACTTTGAAATAGTCCGTTTTAAATGAGCTTTGGCCCACAGGACACGACGGCGCTTCTGGATCATGTTCACATATGGCTTCCTTTTTGCATGATAGAGATTTAGTTGGCATCTGGAGATAGCACGGCGGATTGTGTTTACCGACAGTGGTTTCTGGAAGTATTCCTGGGCCCATTTAGTAATGTCATTCACACAATCATGCCGATGAGTGATGCAGTGTCGTCTGAGGGCCCGAAGACCACGGGCATCCAATAAAGGTCTTTGCCCTTGTCCCTTACGCACAGAGATTTCTCCTGTTTCTCTGAATCTTTTGATGATGTTGTGCACTGTAGATGATGAGATTTGCAAAGCCTTTGCAATTTGACGTTGAGGAACATTGTTTTTAAAGTGTTCCACAATCTTTTTACGCACTCTTTCACAGATTGGAGAGCGTCTGCCCATCTTTACTTCTGAGAGACTCTACCTCTCTAAGACATCCCTTTTATAGCTAATCATGTTACAGACCTGATATCAATTAACTTAATTAGTTGCTATAGATGTTC